ATCGTCTCGTCCAGCGTTTGTTTGCACTGCCCCCAGCACTCGTCTCGAGCACAATATATATATGTGTGTGTTATGTTGATCAAGTTATTTCCGCCAGCGGGGCTCCTTGGCTGATATGCTAACTACTCAGTGGACCGGCTGCCTCGCTGTCGGTGGAAAGAAAGAATGTTTGACTGGTGCATATTTTGTGGTACCCGAGATGCTTACTGACTGGTGCTTCGTTATTCGTGATATGGAAGATGTCTGCATAGAATATATACGGTCTTTTAAGGGTATCAAAACAATTTCTAAATGTAACACTTTCTTTAAACAATTTTAAGAGCCATGCAGGTTCTTTATGGCCAGAAATTTTCTTTTGTAGAAAGGCACTAACAGTGATTATAGTATACGGCTCGATTAATTACAGAACAGAAGTTTGACCTTGCCGTGCTTAGACAGCCATCGTTATTTAAGGATATCAATGTCAGTGAGGATAGTTGACGTAAGATCGGAAAATATGTTTACGCTTAATGGTAATGATATCTTCACGTATGCTATAGTTACGCTATTCTATATCGCCAATCTTTTTAGCATAATTATTAGCCACTGCACCATTCTCACGTATCTCAGTGAGAAATAAATATATGTTATATGATTCAATCGTTATTATAAGTAATTTAAATATAATTTTAGTTTTCGGGAAGGATGGAAGACCTCCTTTTCCTAAATAATCTAGTAAATTCATGATGAGACTGCGATATGCTATCGAAATCCGTATCATTTCCTTCATGATTATCAAGTACATCCGATTTTAAACGTAGTGTGATTTTTGGTAAAACTGAATATATTTTTACTAAAAATTAAATATGTATAATATGACATGCCGTTCAGGCATATCTCAAATTTCTTGCCCATGCACTTGAAATTATAGTCCCTCATGAGCTTCCTTTTATACTGTTCACAGAGAATTTTTTACTCAATCAGTTCTTTACATAAATTTCCTATTTTATTCGTTTTGTTTATATAAACAAAATTAAATAGAACGTTTTTTAACTAAAATTTGTATTTTCACAAGAAATAAAACAATTGTCTTTACTTAAATCCAAAAGACAGCCAATATTTTAATTCTTTGTTGCTAAGATTACATTTTATACGGTTAAAATGGATGTATGATATTATACAGCTGAAACCGAAGACCACAAATAAGGTTTGTAGAGATATAATGTTAGGCGAACTAATGTTTCTTTTAATTTATGTTACATTTTAATATTTATTTCAAAACTTAAGTGCAAAGCCCGCAAGGAAATCTCCCTGGCGGAATAGATGATGAATGCTGTGTCACATGGAATTTCGTAAACATTCTTTTTTCCCTTGCAACTTACAACTCATTAAACGAAAAAGAATCCAGTAAAGCAAAATGAAATGACGTGAAATAAATGTTCTTGTCACAATTCAAGCTACCAGACATTTTCCACAGTATAATAGGTCTTTGACTTGTTGTGCTCTTGACAGTGACAAATAGTTGCACTTCTCCGGCAGTTGATTGGGATAAGAATAATTGTGGGTTAAACGAAAATAAAAATAAATGTCAAGAAAAGAAAGTATCCTTTTCAGAAAATTTTAAGGAAAATTATTCTTAGCATCAGCTGAAAATGTCACATTCACATTTTTCCTTGATTACATTTCCTGCAAATTCGAAACTTTAATGTTTAGGCGTTGAAATTATTTTTTGTTTTTCTTCAGCTTTTCATATAAATATTTGTTATGGAGAATTCTATGGTACATGCAAAACTCGGGAATGGTTTATGTATTTCAATGGAATACATAAACCCTTCACCAGGAATACATAGTAATGATTACGACATGCAAACACATCGAATGATTAAAAAATCCCATGGAGTTTAGTGAAAAATATTTAAAAAGCTGCAAACGCATTTTGCATCTAACTAGAGAAGTTGTATAAAAGTACAACGCGCGGGTGAAAAAAAAGTTTTAACAGGAACATTCAGTTAATTATGTTACATTTGTCGCTTCATATTCCATAATTTCTTTTATACTTCAGAAGCCATATCCTATGCAAAATTTTAACTGCAAAAAAGAAACTTAAATCAGTACGGTGAATGATGTCCAACAGTCTTCCGCATTCTGTAGAACTTCTAGGAATGTGTACGTAAGGCAGTTTCATAGAAACATATGTCTTCTGTAATTAAGTTATCTCACAAAATGTTACTTTTCATCTGCTTACATATTTTGCATGCTTTTCAGAGGGTTACTGAGTTTAACTACAACAAAGGAAAAATATTAAGTAAAAAAAAAAAAACTGAAGGGTTTCAGATTTTAAATTACGTCCAAAGGAGCGTTTTTTTAACATTTTGTATGTTATCTTTATTTATTAAATATCACGTTCTTCGCACTTAAACCACAAAATTCAGTTCAAGAGCAATATCGCAAAATAGTTTTAAATTGAGCATATCTTTAGAATTACCGATACAAAGTCTCGCGCGCTGGAGATAAAAATGCTTTATGTTTGACAATGCGTTGCCACTGCTTCGCTACAAGATCCTTGAAGTTTGTTTAATTAAAAATTTGTCAAAGTTTTACAAAATACGAAATCGATCATAAAACAAATTCCAAATTTCAAATTTGGGCTTCCACGTGCCCATATTCGCAGTAGGATTATGTCATTCAAAATTCGATGGCTCTATGTACCGTTGTTTTAACACAAGGCGAGAAATATACATACATTTATGCAGATTTTTCTTTATTTAATTTCTTCAAATATAATACAGTACTCTAACATTTGTCGGCAACAGTTTGAAAAATGAAACGGACATGTAAAGTAAACCATCGAAAAGTCGCAAAACGAAAACAATAGTCCTTCAGGGACAAAGCTCCTTTGGACTAAAAATTCGATTTAATGTGAACGTTATTTATAATAGGAAACCGAATTAGACAGAAACATTGCAAATTTTATGGATCAACTATGTTAATTAATTGAAATGCACATGTAGGAAAAACATTAATATATTCCCCGATATAGATTTTGTTGTTGTTGTGACTTATTTCACTTGTCTGACAGTAACACCAGAACAAGCCCACGAAGTTCTTCGTGGCAGGAAATTCAAGATTGCGCTTGTCGTTGGCAATCGCCTTGAGCACCATGTAGGTGACAGGACGATTTTCACAGTTCTGCCTCCAATTTTGAAAGAGAGCACCTGAGAAGACGGGTCGAATGGTCTCCCATCCCTCTTCCCCTACCAGAAACCTCTCCAGAGGACGTTCGGCTCAGCGCATCTTTAGAGTGCACCCCCTGCCGCACAGACAATATACATTTACAAATATCCATGCCCTCTCTGGGATTCGAACCAGGCCACTTCGGTACGGCAGTCAGCGTTGGTAACCGCTATTCCGGTTTGGTGGCATTATATAGATACAGACTAACCTCGGGTTGCTCGCAAATTATCAAACCTTAAAATTTTTATGGTTTCTGAAACTGCTTTTTAATTTATAGGAAATAGGTTGCTATAACAATAACCTTGTGTTTGGCGCAGATTTTATTTAAGACTGTATCGATTTCGAGTGCAAACAAGTAAGGTTCCGTCTTCATTAGGTTATGACTATGATAAAAGACCGGATAACAACAATACCTGAAAATGATAAGTGTTTAAAAATATAATTAATCGTGGGGAGTTTTGAATCTAAACATAGAAAGTTAATGCCACAAGTGATTGTACTACACATTATTACTAGCAACCCTTGATTTAAACAGCAGGTCTAGGAGATAAAATGGGTTTAAATTCTTAATGAAGAATTCAGTGATCTGAAGTCTTTATCGCACTGCTACTGTAGATTTCCGCACTTAAGTGATTTGCGCATAATTTGACAGATAAGGATAACTTTAAAAAATTTATTTGGGAATTCTTTTATTTTTATACGTAAGTCTAGAAATTAATTATAAAATTTAAGTAAAAATTTCAATCCCTCTCAAACTTTGTTTAAGGAATTTTGAAGTAGCTTCTAAATTTAGCAGTATGTATCTCTTTAAACTCTTTGAAACACTTTGCATAACTTCTTAGTATTGCTTCTGCACATTAATAAATTAAAGTTAACATACGCAGAGCTAAGTGGTCAGTTTCGATAAACGTTTTATAAGGTATTTCTCCCGCTTTCCTAGCGTGCCTTCGTGGTGTAGTGGTTCTGAACCGCTATTCCGCTATTCCAGAGGTCCGTGGTTCGATTCCCGGCGAAGGCGATTGCTCATTTTTCATCTCTCCGGTTTCCAAAAAAAAAAACCTAATGTCTCTACTATGGCGCCCAAACTAAACGGGGGATGGCTGATGACTCTCCGCACCCAGGATTTAGCGATTGGGTCCCCTAAAAACCCCAGTCGCCCTTTAAAAGGGGAAATATATAGGTATTTCTCCCACTTTCTTGGCGTACCTTCGTGATGTAGTGGTTATGCACGCTGGGCCGGTATTCCAGAGGTCCGTAGTTCGATTCCCGGCGAAGAGGGTTGCTCATTTTTCATCTCTCCGGCTTCCAAAAAATACCTGATGTTTCTACAGTTTTTGTACATTTATAAAAAGCAATATTATTATGAAATATGCTATGAACAATTATAACTTTGAGGTTAAAACTTGTAATCGAAATCTAAAATGAATGCCTACTAATTAATTCCACAGAAAAGAAGCATTATATTTCTGTTGTAGAACCTCCTTAGAGCAATAAATGTACTTTTACTTTCTAATTAATAATTTGGATAATTAAAAATATCAGAAAACGTGATTTTATCGTATCAGAATTATTTAATATATTTTTCAGGTTTTGTAGCGTATTAATTAATACTACGTATATTTAAAGTGCTTTTAACTTTCACGGAAAAAAATACATGAACTTCAGTAACAAAATTTTATTGCTTCAAACAGAAGAAGTTCCTACAGCTCACTCGTACGGGTACACAAACTACCAGTAATTTTCAAATGTAAGAGATAATTTATTTAAAAAATGGTTAGGCTTCTTACCTACGACGTCGAGATAACCAATTTGTTTCTTCATGGGCACCGTATTGATTTGACACATATAGCTGCCACGATCTTGCTCTTGAACGTTTGTGATGTGCAGATTCCAGTGCTGATGATCTTTGTGGTTTAATGTGATTCTATAGTTCCTTGTAATTACGTGCGTATGAATGGACAAAATTGTTTGGCTTTCTACACGAATCCAAGCAACCTGAAAAAAATATAATTACATGATCAGATAATAAGCTGGTATTCCTTGATATTTAGATAAGTAAAGAAATATTGAATAAAAGGTCCTCTGCATAATCACACTAAATTAATAAAATCCACATAGGGATGGATGTTTATATCGTATGATAAAAGGTCGCAGACCCTTGATCTAGATATTCATGTGCATGTTCTACAAAGTGCAGTAATACCTGAAGTTACATGAAAGGTGGAATCGCCGAAAAGCACATAAGTCGTGATCTAATTTTGTGTATAAATGTACACGAATTTTAAATAACTAGGACCAAGGGATTAAAACGCTTCTTTAAAAAGGTCTGTAATAAAGAATATAGATTTTATATAAATCAATGCAAAATAATATAAAAATAAATTTATTATGAAAAAAGTTATTTTAATAAAATTAACTTTATAAAATTTAACAAATTCCTCTTAGGCTCAGTGCAATTTTTATTGCATAAATTTCTTATTAATATGTCTATATATATATTCTTTTGCAACTATAAAGTGTTTCTCATTAGAATTTAATTTCTCTAAAATCTGTAACCTTTCCATTTTAAGCTTTCAAATTTCATATGTTCTTTTAGTGGACCTGGGTTTAAGACGTCAGATTTCTCAATAGGAAACTTGCTGACTCATTTCTACAGGATCATCACTTATCAGGTCTTTGCTATGTGATTACAAAGGCGCGCTGACGTCATCACTACCAGTTTCTAAATCTAATTTCTTGGCAAAACTGATATCTTCTAAATTATATGAGTCACTGGATAATTTTTTGGCGCGATGTTTATATATTATTCGAAGAAGAACGCACAAATAAGGTTCCGCGTAAATTCGAATTAAAGTCGGGGTGCCATGTGGACAGTTTACATCCGCCTACCTTGAATTATCCAGGTAACGTCTCCTAGTGGAGAATATTTCCATTATGTATTTCTACTATGCAGGTAGAGGACAGTTCACTCATTTGAATAATTTCTATGTAGATTTTTCTTTTAGGGCGTGAATATGAACCTAAATAATTTTATAACAATTTTTACAACTTGTATAAACGTTACTATAAAGACGATGTCAGAATCGGTGCCTTCCTTAAGATTTATATATGTTAGTGATTAACATTAGATAGTATGTAAAGTTTCTTTAAATTAAAGCCTCGTTTCCACTACTGCGTACGAACGCGTTGCGTCAATTGAAGACACGCCTACGGCATCCGTACAAGCATTTCCACTGCCGCGTATCCGTTAGAAATATTTTCAATTTTCCGCCACTAGGTGTCACTGTAATATTTTAGCCCCAAACAATCAGTTCGCGAGTTACGACATCTGAATTTTTCCCGCTTAGCGATTATTGTTTGTTTTGGATTTGATGGATCCTGCTGTCAAATGCAGAAAAGTTTTAGTCTACTAAATTAGATGTTATTGGAAATTTTTATTTCTGCTTATGAACTGCGAAAGTAAAGTACGGGTAGCAATCTTTTAGATAAGTAAGATTATAATGCATATTATGAGCATCACTAATTCCATAGAAGCTGAAGCAAATTTTAATATATGTATTATTAAAACATATATTAAAATTATTTAGTTTAGTTTACTAAAATTTCCATGTTATTGAAAATTTTTATTTCTGCTTATGAACTACGAAAGTAATGTACGCTAGCAATCTTTAGATAAGTAAGATTATAATGCATATTATGAACATCACTAATTCCATAGAAGCTGAAGCAAATTTTAATATATGTATTATTAAAACTAAAACATACTGTTAGTGAAAAAATAAACAAATAAATAAATAAAATAAAAAAGTTAAAGGAATTAAAAAATAGTTGGTACTTTAAAAATGCAGAGCAACTGTAAAGAAAGGTTCACAGTATTTACACAAAATTTGCTATGCTTGTATACCGCTTACTTCAGGGTCATAGCTGAATAATTTATTAGAAATCTCGTTTGTTTTAAAATGCACTATGGTCAGTTATATTTTATGCATAATCCATAAAATATTATTTTTAATTTAAACATTTTTAATTCATATCTCTTTTTATAGAAGAAGTTATAAAAATAATATTTTTCTCTTTACATATACACACATTAGGTAAAGAAAATGGAAATATTTAATTAATTAATTCCTGAGCTTCTGCTGGAGAGGACTGAATTTAAAAGCAATTATTATAGTAATTTTTTGTTAAAAAAAGTTTAGGGCATTAATACTGTCTCATGTTAATTGGAATGAACGTTTAGAGTCGTAAACATCCCAAAGTCTGAGCACATGTATATACATTCACATAAAAGTGAAACGAATATATATATATATATATCTACATGTCTTCAAAATAAATTAAATTTAAATAATTCTCTTGCGCCATTGCTGCAAGGAATGAAATTTAAATAACAAACATTTTCTATTCATAAAAAGCAAATTTAAAGTTAATTAAATTTAAATGAAATCTAATGCAAACAAATAAATTATTAATTATTGCTGCGAACTAATATACAATGTCATTTAAATTCTGACAGCATATGTAAATCAAGTGCAAGTATCAAAATCCATGAATAAATATATAATTCCAAAAATTTAGAGAATATTCACTTATGCATTTTTATAAATTTTTTATCGATTAATAAGCTATCCTGTTACTCACTTATGCATTTTTATAATTTTTTTTGGATTAATAATCTATCCTATTATTCACTTATGCATTTTTATAATTTTTTAATAAATTTTTGGAATTATATATTTATTCATGGATATTGATACTTGCACTTGATTTACAAATGCTCTCAGAATGTAAATGATATTATAGATTAGTTCGCAGCAATAATTAATCATTTATTTATTTGCATTAAATTTCATTAAAATTTAATTAACTTTAAATTTGCTTTTTACGAATAGAGAATGTTTGTTAAATTCAAATATATATGTACAGGGTATGCTTTAAATTAGTATTATATAATTTTCAAACTTTTTTGCGGGGGAAAATTTAGATAAATAAAAGCATAAATAAAACAATATATTTAACGCATATAATTATAGAAATAAATTATAAAACACGAATATAGATCAAATTGGAACAAAAAGCTGAGAAAGTTGCAGACAGGGTGCAAAAAGCGTATGGGATTCGAACTCACGATCCCAAAAAGTATACATTATTACCGTCAGCTTTACCACTAAACTAGTATCACACGAGAGTCGTATGCATATTTTGGTTTATATACATCATCAAGTAAATCAATTCTTAAAACTAAATTTTTTGGTCATATTTCAGTGCAAAATTCTGAAAAATTCCCCAGAGTTTGTTCTTCAGCTTCTAGTACATTTTTTACAAAAAACATTATCTTTTAAAGTGGCGTTCCGATTGAAGTTAAACGGGCTGCTAAAAATATATTTCATGTGCTTACAAATATATGTTAGCCAAAAAAATATATTTACAAATTTAACATACTCTTTAATGCAATGGAATATTTAAAAGGCTATCAAATTTAATTTATAATTAACGTTTTTAGTTTTTACCTGTTTCAAAAGAAAAAAATAACAATCTTTTAATCATATCTATTTGCTGTAGCAGTTTGTATAGTCAGACATCATTTAATTAAAGGTTAATGAGTATGCAGAACTAGGAAATAATTGTCAGGACAAATTTTGCTATTTCATGGACTTGGAATTATAATTTTCGGCCGCTGATTTTCTTGAACTGAATTTCTTGGCCGCTTGATTTTATCTGCGAACAAGTACTGTAGTTGCAGTTATCTTATTTTTCTTATCTTTTTTTAACTGAATTCAGCTGATTGCTGACTTTTTCAGTATGCAAATTTCTCCTTATAATGTTAATTCAGCTATAATGTATTTTTTAGCAAAACATTCTTTCCCTAAGCCAGCGTTCATCGCTATTTTCCAACAGGAATTTCACACATAAAGAAATAAATAAGAACAATTTTATGTTGCAGGAAAATAAGACCAAAGCCAACAAAAGTGCAAGGTCACGGTATTTACCAACGCAAATGTGTTGTAAGCCATTAAAGGTTCTGACAACTTTGTATCTGCGTTTGTTAGAAATTTAACTGCTTAGTAAAATCATCAAAAAGAATACATTATTTCTCGCAATTAATGTTTGGTCAGAATTAGTAATCTCATAAATAGCAACATTATTTACTTTGGGAAGACAGTTAACTATAGAATTAGTAATCTCATAAATAGCAAAATTATTTACTTTGGGAAGACAGTTAACTATGCCTTCCGCCATATAACTTAGCGGACGTTTTTGGCATGCTCAGAGAATAATTTTATCAGTCTAGTTATTCTTAATGCATTTACGTCATTAGAAACAATAAACGCATCATGTAAGTACCCGTATACAAAAACTTGTGTTATTTTTAAGAGATAACTCATTATATATCGAAAATAATTTATTACATACAGTTCTGTAATCACATAAAAATGTCGGCAATTAATTAACTCTTTTGATTTTTCGTTTTCTTATTTCTTGCTTTTAAATAACTTTTGTCATCTTATATAATATATTAGTTTTTAGGTTAATAAACAATATTATCGCGCAGTTTACATGTATTATAATTAGCTGTAACTAATAATTTTGTTTTACTTTGCAAATGTATTACTTTTGTTAAGTTTTAATTTTTGTGATAAATTAAACAGGACATTTATATATAAATCCATCCTTTCTTAGATATATGTGTGTGTGCATGTATAGTCAAATTGCCAGTCTTTCCGAAACACGTTTCATCTTCAGAAAGACATTTCAGTTTTTTTTTTTCCTTCCAGTACAGTTGTTTGGCTTTATGATGGAGACTATCAACTCCAAAAAACAGCATGTTTGATAGACCCGTTTTTATAAATGGCCCTCCGATGGTTCGACTATCAGATTTTTTTCCCTTCCTCAACGATATACCAAATTCAAGAAGATTTTTTTCCACCTCATGAAAACACAATGAGTAAGCCGTGTGGCTTATCGACTGTAATCTATTGGATTTCTTTTAGAAGAGGAAG